CATGCTCACCAGTCCAGAAGTGACACCATCCACAGTGATCTGGGCCTTTCCACATTAATCAATCAAGAAAATGCACCACAGACTTGCCCATAAGCCAGGCTGCTGGAAACTATGTTTTCAAGTGACATTCCTTCTTTCAAGATAACTCTAGCTTGTGTCAAGTTGGCATAAAACTAGTCAAGTACCTCCCTTGGCCACTCTTCACTCTAATACTTGTGGAGGTCAGCTGACTGACCCACGGGCCACTTAAGAATCTTGAGTTGCCCTTCAGGAAGACCCCAAGGCCTTCAGCCTGTAACTCTGGGCTGCTGCTGCCCATCAAAATGAAGGAGTTCCTTTCAATCCCTTGTGGAAAGCCTTACTTCCCATTTCCAACAAAAGAAGCCTGGTCATAGGTATACTTGGGTAGTGTCTGTAGGCAGTGGCAAAGGAGACTGGCCTTCAGTAGTCCACAAAGGTTTAAGAGGCACTTTAGGGGCTGGAGAGATGACTCAGTGGTTAAGAGCATTGACTCTCTTCCAGAGGACCCAGGTTCAGTTCCCAGCACCCACATGGCAGCTCACAACTGTCTCAAGATCTGACACCTTCACAAAGATATACACACAAGCAAAAGCAACAATGCACAAAGATAAAAATAAATAAAAAATTTTAAAAAGAACTTGTTTAAGAAAAATTTTTAAAAGAGGTACTTTAACTCCTCTTGGGAAACCCTACATTCTTTGTGTGGTGCAGATGACAACATTAGCTCATGCAAGATGGACCTGCACATATTGTAAGGATCCTTTGGCCAACTCTCTCCTTGTCTTCCACTAGAGCATTTGTCACAGCTCTCTGGAGTGGGGAGGAGCTGAGCTGTGACAGGAGGAGCACGTGGTTGACAGTGCTTGTGCCAGACTTTGAGTCCCCTTCACTTTCCCACATAACTGGTTTGTGACACAAAGTACTAATTTGTGACGGTTTTAGCTTGTGAGCTTTCCCTCCAAGGTCAATATAGCCTGACCTGCAAGGTTGGTTTTGCTCCCGAGAGAAACTGTATCCCATCTCTGGGAACTGGGAGAGATTCTTGTCCAAGAGGATGCATCATATTAGAGCATGCCTTAGTCGAATAAGTGCACTGAGAACTGGGTCTCACTCTGACAATAGAAGTCTGTTGCCCTCCCAGGTAAATGTACTTCTACAGGGCCCATGGGTCACACCCTGTGTTCTCTATCCCTTCTGACTCACCCCTGGGATGTAGTCTTAAAAACAGATCTAGGTTGGGCGGTGGTAGTGCAAACCTTTAATCCCAGGACTTGGAGGCAGAAGCAAGCAGATCTCTGTGAGTTCAAGGCCATCGTGGTCTACAGAGCTAGTTCCAGGACAGCCAGGACTACACAGAGAAGCCTTGTCTCAATAAATAAATAAATAAATAAATAAATAAATAAATAAATAAATAAATAAATAGTCTAAAATTCATCCTCAGACTCTGAAAAAGAAAACAATTTCCTGTGCAGCAAAACTTGACCCTTAACACACTTCCAGATCAATAATGCTGGCTGCCTCAGGGCACACTGAGCTATTACTGCATCCTGCAATTATATTTCTTTGTTTGCAACTTAGGAAAGGACTCTGATATTTCTTATAACCAAGCCTTCATGACTGTCACTAGACCCTAAGATGCAAAAGGAATGTCTTATGTACTTTACTAGATTCTCCTACACTTGTGATTTTTTTTTCCGAGAAAGGGTTTCTCTGTATTGCTTTGAAGCCTGTCCTGGAACTCACTCTGTAGACCAGGCTGGCCTCGAACTCACAGGGATCTTCCTGCCTCTGCCCCCCAAGTGCTGGGATTAAAGGCTTGCGCCACCACTGCCCGGCTTGCGATGTTTCTTAAACTCAGCCACAGTTGACATCCTTGATGGTCTCTCCTTTGCGTACATTCATGCTCAATTTCCAGGTCTCGACCACTGGCTACTCCCTTGCCTATACCTCCCCACATCTTCCTCCTCCCTCCAAATCTCTTTCCAGCCATGCCCTTCTTTACCTTCTCTCCATCACACACGTGCTCAGGAACTTCATATAGGAACTCGGGGAACAAGAAAAGCCATTCCCAGTCCTTCAGGGAACATCCTTCCTCTTTGCAAGGTAGCTAATGAGGATTGCAGCACCATCAGCCACACATTTCCTTCCCCATGTCCAATCTGTCCCAAATATAATCCAAATTAGATCTTTCAGCCAGGATCCCCTTCAGCTACATTAGGGGATTTAGAGGGTTCCTTGTAACTTTTGATCTAACATAGCAACAGCTACATACTTTTTGTTTGGTTTTTCTAGACAGAGTTTCTGTGTAACAACCCTGGCTGTCCTGAAACTCACTTTGTAGAGCAGGCTGGCCTCAAACTCACAGACATCTGCCTGCCTCTGCCTCTGCCTCTGGAGTGCTGGAATTAAAGGTGTGCGCCACCACTGCCTGGTTTACATAATTCTTACTATCTGCTGCACACATGACCAATGAAAAGCTATTCCTTCAGTAGAGAATTTTCCGCTTGGTGAGGTGGCTAATGGGGACCTTGGCACCTCTCAGTTACACATTCCTTTTCCCCTCATCTGTCCCAAATATACACCAAATTGGGATCTTTTAGGCATGATCCCTCCCCCAGCTTCATTAAGGAATTCAAAGGGACACTGAATTTTTGACCTAGGCTAACAAAAGCCCCATCCCTCTAGCCACCTGCCGCACATATGAGACACCTCATCTGGTCCTTAGCATGGCCTGATGAGGTCCGTGTTCATCGTCCAGTTACAGCCAGGCCAGCTTCCATAGTGATGACTATTATGGGATCCCACTGGCCACATCAGGGCACTGATGTGGGAAATGATGAAGGCAGGACTGAGATAATATGATTAACTATGTATTAAAGGGAATTAAAATGCCATTATCAAACCCATTAGCCACAACAACTTGTGGAAGGCAACACAGGAAGCTGCCAAGAATCCTGGTCTCAATTTAGGCTAGCTGAAACCATGCACAAGTGTACCAATGTAGACCCCTGGAGTTAGGAAGGCTAATCCATCCTGGCTGTATATTTTATAAGCCAAATTTCTCCTGAGAGCAGGCAACTTCAAATACTACACCAGGGACTCAGACTCCTTTCCCACACTTTATTAGACATGGCCTTCATGTTCTTTAATAGCCAAGAGACCTCAAGAGCCAGAAAACCCAAACTGGAGAATGGAAAGGTTGAACATGTCAAGCTGTTTTAGTACAGGGCTGCAGGCTCCTTGTCCAGCTCAGGAAATGCTAGAGCTCCACCTAGTGGCTAAACAGTTCAGTCTAAGGCCCTAAACCAGCCTCTCTGGTCAAAAGATGTCCACTACCCTTGTGGTCAGGCTGCAAGTTTCAGCCAGAAGTGCCTAAATCTTCCAGGCTTGAAGCCTCCCCCGCCTATGTCCAATCTGCAAAGTGGGGCCCACCGGAAGCAAATGCCCCTCTCTTCTACATGAGGGAAGTCTGACCTCCAACCACGGCTACCATGGTTAGGTTAAAAAGGGAAAATGCCAAATGTCCATGACTCTATCTAAACTACAAAGAGCGTAACAAAGAGGACTGATGGAGTACTAAGGCTATACACGGCTTCTGTATTTTCTGTCTCCATAGAGATGAGCTTTGGGTTACCCTAGATTGCTAAGGACCAAGATTACAGCAGTTATTGATAAGAGAATGGCCTTTCCCACCCCGGCACCTTCTATGGTTGGTTATCTAGTGCCTACATCACCAGCTCTATCCATCCCTCTTCCCAGCAATCTTGACTTGTACAATAGGCAAACGCCTTTTTACTTGTTCCTGTCTGGTCCTAGCAAGCCGTCCTATCTCTGGGGTGGGGATACTATGTCTGAACTCAGACCCAGTTCACGTTTCTGAAATTCTAGAGGCTCTTACATCCTTCCTAACACCTAGTCCTCTGGCCTGTAGTTGTCTGGAGCTGTCTGGAGCCAAAAAGCCCTCCCTAGAGGCTTTACTAGAGTAACATCCAAGACGTACCTCTGATGTCTGAGCTTCTTCTCTGCCTGGACACTAACAGCCACTCCTTTCACAACTGTGGTTGATGAGCCCAGCAGCTTCCCCTGAAGGCCCAAGAATGAAGAGCTCACAGCTTCTCGTGGATAGGTCCCCAGATTCTGGGACAGTGTGCCCATGTAACTCTTCATGCAACATCCCTATCTGGCAGTAAAGAAGTCAGAAGGATCCTACAGATTGGTCTCTGACCTGGGGACCACAAAGAAGCTCTAGTCCTGACATAACTCATAATTCCCAATACCTTCTGGGGGCAGATACCCTCCATAACGTCTTGGTTCACAGTGTTAGACCTCAAAGGTGCTGTATTTCATGCTAACTTTCACCCAGACCCTCAGTTCCTATCTGGCTTCAAACGACAGGACATTTCTACTTTGTTTAACCTTTTCACAATTTCTATAAATTGTGGTACCCTTATACACTGCTGATAGGAATGGAAATTGCTCCAGCCTCTGTGAAATCAATATGGAAGTTCTTCAAAAACCCTTAAAATGGAACTGCCATATGACCTAGACATACCACTTCTGATTTAAATTCATGCACATCAGAGATTTTCAAACATCCATATTACAGCAGTGTTCACAGTCGCTGGGTTCTGGCATCATCTATGGATGGGCGGGTAGTTTGTATGCACAGCAGTGTTTTATTCAGCCATTAAAAAAGACATTCTAGCCAGGCATCGGTGGCACACACCTTTAATCCTAGCACTAGGGAGGCAGAGGCAGGCGGATCTCTGTGAGTCTGAGACCAGCCTGATCTACAAGAGTGAGTTCCAGGACAGCCTCAGAGCTGCAGAGAAACTCTGTCTTGAAAAACCAAAACCAAAAAAAAAAAAAAAAAAAAAAAAAAGACAGTCTATCGTTTTTCTAGAGGGTGGGATTGACTAGAAATTGCTCAGCAAGATGAATCAGACACACAAAGATAAATATTGTATTTTTTCTCTCATTTGTGTCCCAGAATTCTTTACAGACACATAAAATCATTTATTCAGATGCATATATTCACTACAAACGCAGAAGGAAGAGAGTAGTGGGTGAGAGGGCAAATAAAGGTAGAGAAGGGGACGATCATGAAAGTACATGATAGGCTGGGAAGAAACTGTCTGTATGAAATCCGACACGATGCACTCAAAAAGCCCAGCGTTTCCTTCTCCTGGCTCTTTATGATTCCCTTCTCCAGCTCCCGGTGTGATCCTCAGCCTGCTGGCCCTGACGTACTTGCTCTCTCGCTGTCGCTGTCGTCTGAAGGCGCTAGGTACCATCACTGTTCGTAGGCGTCTCCACCTCTAATGCAGCGGCTTGCTTTTCCCTCTCAAACTCCAATAAAGTCGTCCTGAGGTTTACTTCTGAGTTTTCTCTTTTGTATATGTTTTTATTAATTCAGTGTGTGTACGCATTTGTGTGCACATGTGTGTGGAGGTTGGACGATCACTTGCTGGAGAAGTTTCTCTTTTAGCCACGTGGGCCTCAGCTTGGGGGAAATGCTTTTGCCTTCTGAAGCACCTTGCTCTGCTGGTCCCCTCTCAACCTATGAAACCAAGGATATGCAAAGAGATCTTGCGTCCCGGGTGAGCATCTAAGGGTCAAAAGAACTAGATCCCAGCCAGGGTGGAGAAATAACATTGCAGCAGAGTGGCTAAATCACTTTGGCCTAGGGACCACCCCTAGGAAGGTAGTCTCAGCTTAGTCCGTGTTAAAGAGATAGGCAGAATTATTCGTCTTTTAATTGTGCTTTTTCCACTTCCCCCTGTGTAGAGGCTTAAAGCCAAAGCCACAGTGGAGCAGAAGTCTCCCACTTGTAATTTTACCTTTTCTCCTCTTTTCTGAGCATGGTTTCCCTAACATTTTGGGCTCCCCCTGCCCAGTATTTTAGACTTCTTCACGTTTCTCTAAAGCATCTCTCCCTGCCCTGTGGCCACTTGCCAGCTGCATGTCTGACCTCCATGCCAATCTAAATGACATGGCATTTCCCCCCTCCCCCACACAGCTGCTTTACTGTCTGCCTGCCCTACAGTTTTTTTTTCAAACTCTTAATAAAATTGTCCTCATGCTTCCATGTGAGTCTGTTCTTAAATTCCTTTATTAATGAGACTAAGAACCTCGAGGGGACCCAGAATGTAGCAACAGAAACATCATGAAACAGTTCTGTGATTTCCAGGATTCCCTGTAACCTTTTCTGTAAACTGTAAGACTGTACAGGCAAAGCAGAGAAAACTGGGCTTTCCTTCTCTGCAGTCTGTCCAAAACCAAAAACATCAAATTTGTTTGCCCAAGCTCTGCTCCCGTTTGTTTGCTGGTTTGGTGATTTGGTTTTGGTTTTTCAATAAGCATAGGAGGCCACTAAGAATATCTACCACTCATAGGTATTTATAGTTTTTGAGAAACTAATCTCTATTTGGTAAAAATTCAGACATTGACTGAAGGAGGGGAGCACCTGGAGCAGTGCCCCAGAAATAAATTTCAGATAGGGATCCCCATTCAGAAGGACCAGTCCCACCCAGTGCCCGCCCCGGGATGACAGTCCTCCAGCATTTCTGCTTTGCAGTCCCCCCTCCTTCAGATCTGAACCCATACATTTTCTAAGGCGCTCATGTTTATTAACAACTGTTTCTATGGCAGCAGAGCCCTGTTTTTAGGGCTCAGGGGTGGAAGCTATTTATAAGCCAAAGAATGATAGTACATGCCAATAGCGGCTATTATTGATGAAATCCTTTTGGGATCTCTCAGACACAAAATACGGTAACAAGTCAAAATATATTCATCGGGCCTATTGTTTACCAAAACATCTGGATTCTAAATTTGTTTCCCATCTAGGTCCACTAACTATAATATATAAATCATGTAACAATCTTATCTCTTGTGAATGAGTAAATTTGACCCCTGGCACTCCATATTAGGTGCATTAAGCCATGGAACTAAATGAATCCTCTGTGACAGTACTCAGCAGATCAGGGTCCTCACACCATATACAGAGAGACAGGCTTGATAGCTTGCTAAGGTCACTGTTCCATGTGGTCTTCTGAATAGTAATAGTTGGCCTTGCCCATGCAACTAGCCCCTCCCATCTCTGAATGTATCAACATAAAATCTTCTTTTAAAATGTTTATGGAATCAATAAAACAATTTTCATTCCATGTAGCAACTCACAAAAGCAACTTTCTTTCATGTCAATTGTGATGCCTGTAAATATATTAAAATCAGCCATTCCAAGTGGGGTAGCTCCCAAGCAAACATCAGTTCATACTTTCGATATGTAAAAAGGTATGTAGCATAATAAATGACATTTGGAGCATGAGTTCTGGAGCAAGAAGGTTGGAGGACAAATCCTAGTTCTAGAAACTACTCCATCCCATAATGAGTACATAACACTGGACAACAAAGCACCATGACCCATTTTCTCATTATACAAGAGTCAGAGAGAAGGGGCCAGAATATTAATACAGGTTGAGCATCCTTAATCTGAAATCCAAAATGCTGCAAAAACTATAGATTTGGAGGTGTCCTGTTAGCATTCAAATCTTGGGCATGAGATCTTGGAACATTTCAAATTTTTAGAGTAGAGCTATTCTACCACTAAATTCTATTCAAATATTCCAAAGTTTGAAAAACTCCAAAATCTGAAACACTTCTGGCCCAAAGCATTCCAGATTAAGGATGCCTAGCCTCATCTACTTCCAAGGACCACATGAGCATGGAGTGAATTTACACATGTAGAATGCCTGGAGAGTAAGGCCACAATCCAGAAAAAAAAACCAACTAAATCGTGTATGGCTGCGTTTTAAGCAACATGATGACAAAAATGATGGCAACAATTAACTTTATTCTAAAACTGTGTAACACAAATTCCCCCATTAATAACCAATGGAGAGTCAATGTCCAAGCTGACTTCTATGTAAGTTATATCCTCTTATACTACTACCCCATGGCAGTAGCAAAATCTTTACTCTTGACTGCCATGACTAAGTCTTGAGCTATTCAGGTTTCTTACAAAATGCTACTGTTCCATGTGGTGATGTTAAGCAAAGGAATTATAGTTCTCCCAAAGCCTTATACACCTTCAAGGTTGTGCCCATACCCTGGTCTTTCTAGAGGTCTATGTCTCTGAAGTCTAGAAATGTAGTCTATAATCCAACACCCACATAGGGCATGTCTCTCTCTCAACATTATCCTATGGAGGCTCTTGAAATGAGGGGGCAGGCAGGCTCCTGACTCCATGTGTATATGCCCTTTTGAGGCCCGAAGAGTTACCAGTCTTCAATTCTACAGTATACAGAACTTATTATCCTTTTTTTTTTTGCTTCCATCAATTATCTTAATGGCTCTCTTTATCCTTCAATGAAGTTTCCTGTTCAAATGCGATTACACTTCTATTGTACGTTTTCACCTACTTGAGCATGGCCTCTTTGGATCTTAGGCTTTCACTACTTTCAAGTAAATGAGCCACCCCCCACAATCTTGGACATTTGGTCCCCAGTCGATGGCAATGCTTGGGAGGGTTAGAAGGCTGCTGTGGGAAGTGTTACTGGGGGTAGGCTGTAAGAGTTTAAAGACTCAAGTCATTTACAGTTTATTCTGTTTCATGTTTTCTGTGCAGGATGTGAGCCCTCAGCTTGCATCTTTACCCACCTTCCCTTGGCTCCACAATCATGGGCTCTAGCCTGCTGGAACTGTATGCTTAAACTTCTCCTTCTGTAAGTTGCCTTGCTCATGTGTTTGATCACAGCAATATAAAAGTAAACTAATGCAACTAAATTCTCTGGCTTCCCAGTCATCCTCCTGACTTGCCCATAGTTTTGAAGACAAACTTTTGATCTTATGTGAATTTCTTGTTTCAGTTTTTGTTGTTGTTTGCTTGTTTGTTTTCCTTAGTTTTGGAAATGGGTTCTCTCTGTTATAGCCCAGACTGGCAACAAAGTCACAATCCTTCTGCTTCAGCCTCCCTGGGATTACAGATGTGGCCCAGTACATCTACTTTCTCATTCTCTGGTACAGGACATCACTCTAAGTCTGGGGGTGGTGGCTCATGCCTGGAACCACAGGTCTCTGGAGGCTGAGGCAGAAGGGTTGCTTTGAGTTCAGGACCAGTCTGAGCTATATTGTGAATTTTAGTCCAGCCTTGGGCTACAGAGAAAGACCTTGTTTCAAAAGAAAAAAAATCAAAGCATTATCTGGTTCTCCTTTAGTTCACAAAGTGCTTTTTCCAATCTAACTATTCATCATACTTTCTGACTCAATTAAAAGAAATGAAAAAGAGTCTTTTTATTTCTTCCAAAAGGCATCTTTAGATTACTGCACTCTGGTTCACCTCTCACATCTTATCTCACATTTCAGAGAACAATTCTCAATAATCCTCCTTGAATATACTATTTTTAAACTCTGTCTTACATCCTTCTCTCCACTCTGGGTAGAGATGATTCATTAAGAATCCGAAATTCAATGTCAATGTTAACATAAAGGTGCTTAGAGAACAATACAGGAATCATCAAAATTAAACAGCGTAAGGATAGTCACATGACCAATGGAATAAACAGAATAAAACACAAGACTTTCTGTGCTTAAATCTTAACAATTTCGCTGAAAAGCTTGGGTAAGGCAAAGGACACCATCAATAAGACAAAACAGCAGACTGTGGATTGGGAAACTATCTTCACCAACCCCACATCTGACAGAGGACTGATATTCAAAATATGTAAAGAACTCAAGAAACTAGACATCAAAATACCAAATAATCCCATTAAAAATGGGGTACAGATTTAACAGAGAATTCTCAACAGAAGAATCTCAAATGGCCAAAAAGTGTTCAACATCCTTAGATATCAGGGAAATGCAAATCAAAATGACTCAGATGCCATCTTACACCTATGTTGGAGAGAATGTGGAGTAAGGGGAACACTCCTCCACTACTGGTACAGTCACTTTGTAAATCAATATAGCAGTTTCTCAGAAAATTAGCAGTCTACCTCAAGATCCCATAATACCACTGTGGGGCATATACCCAAATGACGCTCAATCATACTGCAAGGACACTTGCTCAACCATATTCATAGCAGCATTGTTTGTAATAGCCAGAACCTGAAAGCAACCTAGATGCCCCTCAACCAAAGAATGTGGTGTGTTTACACAATGAAGTATTACTCAGCAGAAAAATAAATGACATCATGAAATTTGCAGGCAAATGGATGGAACTAGAAAAAAAAATCATCCTGAGTGAGGTAACCCAGACTCAGAAAGACAAACATGTATGCACTCACTCATAAATGAATACTAGATGTAAAGCCAAGGATAAGCAGATTTTAGTCCTCAGTCACAGAGAAGCTAGGTAACAGGAGGCCCCTAAGAGGGGCCTATGGGTCTCCCTGGGAAGATGAGATGTCCTGTGTAAACTGAGAGTAGGGCGCGGGGGTGGAGGGGGGAAGAGTAATGAAAGAGATATCTTGATAGACAGTGCCATTTGGGGGTTAGGGAGAAACCTGGTGCCAGGGAACCCACAAGGATGACCCAGCTAAGAATCCTATCAATAGTGGAGAGGGTGCCTGAACTGACCTCCTCCTGTAATCAGACTGGTGACTAATTGTCATCATAGAGCCTTCATTCAGTACCTGATGGAAGTAGATGCAGAGATTCACAGCCAAGCTCTGGGAGTCCAGTTGAAGAGAAGGTGGAGGCATTTTATAAGCAAGGGGGTGGTCAAGATCATGACAGGAACATATAGAGACAGCTGACCTGAGCTTATGGGAGCTCATGGACTCTGGAAGGACATCTAGGGAGCCGGCATGAGACTGACCTAGGCAGACCCTCTGCATCTGGGTGCCAGTTGTATTGTTTGGTCTTTTGTGGGGCCCCTAGCAGTGGGACCAGGACCTGTCCCTGACACATGAGCTGGTTCTTTGGAACCTATTCCCTCTGGTGGGATGCCTTTCCCAGCCTTGATGTGGGGGTAGGGAATGGTGGGGTAGGAGGAGTGGGGGTGGGGGTGGGGGTCCTGCCTCAACTTGATATGCCATGCTTTGTTTATTCCCGTGGGAGGCCTTGCCACATCTGAATAGAGATGGAGGAGGAGTGGATGATCAGGGCATAGAAGGGAGGCAGGAGGAGAGAATGAGAGGAAAGGATGGAGGAGAAACTGTGGTCGACATGTAGAATAAATTAAAGAAAATAATAAAATTTTTAAAATAACCTTGTCTAGAGGAAATAAAGCCAAGTAAAACTGCACTTGAAAAAATCTTAGCAGTGTCCAACAATATAAAGGTCAAGTGCTGTAAGTCTGTATGTTTTTAGAATGTGTTAGCTATTGCTCCCAACATAGATCACCATCTGCTTGTCGAGCCAGGCCTAACAGCACTGTGTTGTCAGGAAGCTTTGTGACATAAATGGGAAGGTAGCTGGCAGATGATCACAACTTACAAGACCTTCTAGGAAAAGAATTCTACAGTTTCCCAAAGCAAAGAATTCCAACCTTAAAGCCTTCTTAATTTCACAATTTCTTAATTTTTCTAACCTAAGTTTCCCCTATTTTCCCTGCAGGTCTTAGGGACAGGGCAGCACTGTGCCAAGTGTGACAGCCCCCACCTGTGTGAAGAGTACTCTCCCACCCCCTTGCCACAAGGCCTCAGTTCTTCTACGCATAACTATGTGGACTTTCCCAGAGTCTTCCATCCCAAAACTTTAATTCTATTCATATTATTTTTACAACACAAAGACCAGACATACAGTGCTTTGATGTTTCTAATATGCTATTTCGCCAGTTAACATATAATGTAACACAGGCTTTTCAGTATTGGAATTGAAACTTGAAAAAGTGGAACATTACATGTTACAGGGATTACTCTTTATAGTCTGTTAAATCAAACCATGACCAAAAATTGCAGCTAACAAACTGTCTACAGGCACAAACTCCTCCCCAAACCACATTAGGATGAAGGCACCCACCTGCCCACATCCTTAGACTCGGGCTCTTCTACAAGGCTGCATAGTGGAGAGCAAATGGACTTACCTTCACCTTTTCTGTTAAAATAGGAGTCATGCCACTGTAAAGGAAAGATAAAGATGAAGAATTGATTTAGCAATACCAGAAGAAAAGGGAAGTATAATATTTACACATTTCATATGAGTTTTTAGTGATCTCAGAGGACTTGAGAATTAGGAGCAGAAGCCTGCTTTTGTTGGTATACTTAACTTCTCCCCACCTTACATTTCTGATACACTATTTTCAAGTCCCAGGAGGGGCTGAAGAGATGCTCAGCAGTTAAGAGCGCTTGTTCTTGCAGAGGACCTGGGTTTGGTTCCCAGCACCCATGTGGTGGTTCACAACAATCCATGACAACAGTTCTAGGTGATGCTTTCTCAACTTAGTGGGCACTAGGTACACATATGGTGCACATACATACACGGAGTCCAACATTCATATACATAAAGAAAATCTAAAAAAAATAAAGACTAAAAAACAAAAACAAGCTCCCCAGAAACTATGTTATTGTTATTTCTAAATACAAATTTAGAAGTTAGAGTAAAAGAGAAAGAAAAATCAAATTTTATTTTAAAAATACCAGATAGGAGGAACCTTTTTGAAACATACAGGCAGGGACTTTGGGGAGAGGGCAAGGAATCTATTTAGCTTTGTGAGTGTTTTAGGTGCTTGTGTGTGGGGGGGGCGGGGTGCATGTACACAAGCGTATAGAAGCCAGAGGCTAATGTCACGTGTCTTAATCAATCACTCTCCACCTGTACTCTTTGAGACAGGGTCTCTGCATCTGAAGTACGATTGGCCTAGGCTAGCTGGTTAATCAATGTCTGCTTCTTTCTCCTCGTTCCAGCAAACCTGGGGTTACAGCCACATGCTGCCATTGGCAGCTTTTTAATGAGGGTTCTGGGGATCCAAGTCCGTATGCTTAAACAGCAAGCTTTTTACCAATCAAGCCATTTCCCCAGCCCCAAAAGATGTATTTATTCTTATTATGAAGCTATTCTTTGTATTGTCTGCCATAAGAGAAAATTTCCACATACATTATTATAGATACTTAACATGGATTGTCATTTCAATAGGGTGGTAGTCTTCATCAGAAAGAAGAAAGAGAATTGGTATATAATATGATCTACCCTCTATTTGCAAAGGTCATTTTCCCCCAAAGAATTTATTTTATATGGTACCTAAACAAAAGATCAAGACAGTGGTTCAGAACACTCAAATTATGTAACAGTGTCATATACAAATGTTGGAGTGCATACCAAACAGTTCAGGACCTTTCCATAGCTATACAAATAAGAACATGATAGGTTTAATAACAGTATGCTTATCAAAAATGTATCTACTTTCAAGTTTGACCACATCAGCACCTTATTTTTATGGCTTACTTTTTAAACTCGATAAGTTAAAAAAAAAGTATTTTCCTTCTTTAGACAAAATAATCATAATAATACCCCCCCCCCAGCTAGAAAGTGTTGGAGAATGCCTTGGAGTTAATTCTTTTTTAAATCAAATCCCATTGTTGTGGTGAATGAAGAAGGAAGACTAGGTTAAGAAATGGAACCCTGGGATCCAGAATGCTTTTGCAGATACGTAACAATGCTCACATTTACTTGGGCACAGCTCTGTGTATACCTGAAGCAGCAAGGTCTGGGGGGCTGAACTTCAGGACTCTAATTCAGACTGCCTAGGTCTGAATCCTGACTCCTTACAAACTGTAAGATCATGAACAAGTAGCCTACTGCCTTCCCTCTTTCTTATACTAATAACTACACCTTTCCAAAAGAGTTGTTATGAAAAATGAATTCAAACAAAGCTGGTAGAATGATGTCTGGAGTACTGTAAATATTTAATAAACATCAACAATTATTAGATCTTGTCCTGGTTAGGGTTTCTGCTGCTATAAGGAACACCATGACCAAAGCAGCTTGTGGAGGAAAAGGTTTAGTTCAGTTTAAACTTCCAGGTAACAGTCCATTGCTGACAAAGTCAGCAGGAGCTGATACAGAAACCAAAGAGGAGTGCTGCTTATCAGCTTGCTCCTCATGGCTTGCTCAGCCTGCCTTCTTATAGAACCCTGGACCACCAGTTCAGGGGTGGAACCACCCACAATGGGCTGGGCCCTCCCCCACCAGTCACTAATTTAAAACCATACATTACTGCCAGATCTTATGGAGACATTTTCGTAATTGAGGTTCCCTTCTTTCAAATAACTCTAGCTTATGTCAAGTTGGCCTCAAAAAAAAAAACTTGCACAGAAGTCTATCAATTAAAAACAAGGTGCTGTCTTTGCTACGTTTTAACATAACTCAATTATAGTATACTAGAATTAAGCACTGGATCTTTTGAGTTTTCAGACATGTATTTGTTGATACTCCACTTTGACATATGAGCTGTATAGCCAATGAAACAGTTGGCCCATGAAGCATATACCGACTTCCAAATAGAAACACATAGGAAAGCTCACTTGAAAACTGAGGATCGCCCATTTGGTGATCCTCTGGGACCAGATGCTCAAAGTATTTGATGTTCAGAAGGATTTCTATAGATACCCCACCACCACATACAAAAGTTTTCAGTAATGACCACAAGGTGAAATGTTAGCAGCCAGGAAATAAAGATGGGGTTAAAATATGAAGGCTTCGTCCTGCCTCAACATGGCATGCCAGACTTTGGACTCCCCAAAGAAGGCCTTACCCCCTCAGAGGACTGGAGGGGAGTGGGAAGGGGAGGGAAGCAGGAGAGGGGGCCGGAGCAGAGAAAGGAGGGGAACTGGGGCTGGTATGTAAAATGAATAAATTTTTAAAAATAAAAACAAAACCAACCAAACAAAAAAGATGTGAACTTCAACACTTGGCTTGCCTTGAACCTTTATGAATTTACTTGGAATGTACCCAGCAGCCAAGGTCATGATTAACTGAAGGCCGACTGTGGTTTTCTAAGTTGATGCTCATGTAGAGTAGAAAGTATGCTGTAGATGGAAGTTTCTACAGTGTGTCACAGAGTAAATGTTTAAAATACAATCATTTGGAGAGGTGCTGTGATTAAGTCTAAGGCCTCCTTCCACTGTGAAATTGTATGTGTGTGTGAGCATGTGTGCATGTTTTAGTATTATTTTGAGAAAGACACAGCAAAATGTGCAGACCAGCCTCAAACTGTCTGTGTCGTTAAGGTTGGCCTCAAATTTTTCATCCTCCTGCTTCAGCCTCGTAAGGAGCTGGCGTTACAGGTGAATGGCATCACACTCACTAAGAAATCCCTTTTACAATTGTTTATTGAAGCTGAAAAGATGCATGCTGTTTTACTTTCTGTTGCATCCAATAAGACCATCTTCATATGAATGTTGCTAATTATGTCAAATATATTTACTCACTAAAGCTATGTCAGCAGGATTTTTTTTCAAAAATTGCTGTTAGTAGCTACTGTGAATACGTAAGCCTCAGATAAATATCACACAAATAATACATTGCACTTTCCCAGGTTTCACTAACACAGCGTGGCTTTTCCCCTGTACGTGTACCTTAGCAAAGCTGTACTGCAAGCTTACAACATGAAAGTGCTCACAAAATATGCACATGTAGGTAAACCACAAAATAAGGGTTTGTGAACTCCAATTTTTATAAAGCATGAGGGGTCAGATTTGTTTTTTGTTTTTCAATTAGCCACTTGAAATTTTAATCCTGGAATCAATTTATTTTCAGACATTCACAGGACAAACATCATCTTCAATTTGCCCTCCCATAATCTCGAAGCCATGGTCTGAACTTGCATAAAGTTCTGTTCGTGTAATTCTTTTGCTCTCGACAACACTGTCTTTCCTTTCTTTCTAATTTTGGATTTTTGAAACAGGGTCTCGACACATAGCTCAAGCTTGCCTTGAGCCCCCTATGTGACCCAGGCTAACTTTAAACTCATGATCCTCCTGCCTCAGCCTCTCCAGGGCTGGGAGTACTGGCACGCCTCACCACAGAGGGAAAAAAGGCAATCTTTTCAAATAAAATATGTGGCCTACCTCTAAAGGCATCTTGACATGGATATTATGTCAATGACGCCACTACCTTAGAAACTGTTGTCTGGTAAGAAAGCAACCCACAAATCTCAAGCAGTGTCTTCCATCCTGCATTATTTTCTTTTCTTGTTGTTCTGTAGCTCTTTTACATGCACACCCTGAAGGCCTCCCTCCCGCTAGTCACCTGCCACGTACTGAAGCAACACCTGTGCTATTTATAGCTGGTGGAGTCCCCATCTGCTTCTATCCATAACCATCACCAGAGACAGTTAAAGTAAAATTCTCCTCAATCTTCTGGCAATTAGGCTTCGATGTGTTCCAGAGGCTCAGAATCTGACTTTAAACATGTGTTCCTCACTGATTGCTACGGGCCAGGATTGCTCAACACCCACTCAGAAACCTGAGGTAGATTTCAGTTCTAGACCAATGAGAGTCATTCCCTGGACCTCAGGGCTTAGTCAGGAAAAGAAGAGCAGACGAAACTAGAGAAGGCAGAAAGGCATCTCGTCGTTAAGTTCCTCCCACCTCCCCAAGCTATGGTTTCAACACCCTAAAGCAGCAGTTCTCAACCTGTAGGTCACAACCCTGTAGAGAGTGAAACAACCCTTTTCACAGGGGTCACCTAAGACCATCGGAAAACACAGATATTTACACTACAATCCACAACAGTAGCAAAATTAGTTATGAAGTAGCAACGAAGATAGTTTTATGGTTGGAGGTCACCACAACAGGAAGAACTGTATTAAAGGGTCACAGCATTAGGAAGGTTGAGAACCGCTGTGCCTAGAGACTATCAAAGGAAGATTTTAATCTGGACATGCGCTGTGGAAGTGACACACCACTAGGGGGAACCAGAGAGTTGACAAGTTCCAAATGTTTGGGGATTTTTTTTTAATTTTCCCTGGGGTTGAGGAGTAGGGGGAAAGAGGCAAGAGAGGAATGAGATGAGTGAAGATAGTTGTGACTGGGCTATAGCTCAGTGGCAGAGCGCCTGTGTAGCACAAATGTAGCAGAGCGCCTGTGTAGCATCGGTTCAGTCCCCAGTGCTGCAAAAACAAGCAAGCCAGAATTTAAGGGCAAAGATGTTGTGTCTGTTTCATACACATGTCATTCTCTGAGAGGGTTTCTTAGACAACCACAGTAGAAAAAAATGTTACCTTAAAGTAGCATAGATTTTGCACTAAAAGAAAAAAAAAACGGTATTAGAACACAAAGTTTCTAGATAAATAGATGCAGTCTTTTTTTTCCTCTGTGTAAATACTTGTCCTACTCTTAATAATTAGTTTCATTTAATTAGCTTTTTTTAACTTACAGTTTACAATCCATCATTCAGAGAAGTCAGAGGCAGGACCCGAAGCAGAGGCCACTGAGGAACACTGTTTTCTGGCTTGCTCTGTCAACTTTCTTATAGCACCCAGGATAACCTGCCCAAGGTTGGCACTGTGCACAGTGGGGTGGGCCCTCCCACATCAATCATTAATCAAGAAAATGCCCTACAGCCATGCCTACAGACCAATCTAAAGGTGGGAAGTTCCTGAAGTGGAGCGTGTGTGTGTGTGTCTGTGTGTGTGTGTGTGTGTGTGTGTGTGAGAGAGAGAGAGAGAGACAGAGACAGAGAGAGAGACAGAGAGACAGAGACAGAGAGAGACAGAGAGAGACAGAGAGACAGAGAGACAGAGACAGAGAGAGACACAGAGAGAGAGAGACAGAGAGAGAGAGAGTCGGAGAGAGAGAGGGGGGGAGGGAAGGAGGAGAGGAGAGAAAGGATTTAACAGATAAGTATTCTAAGTAGTTGGCAAATATTTTCTCCCATATTGTAGGCTGTCTCCTCATTCGTAATTTTTTTTGGTTGTGGTGGTGGGGTACTACAGAAACTTGTAATTTCATGCAGTCCTCTTTTGTAATTCCAGGGATTATTTCTTGTGCTTACTATTGGAGTCTATTCATAGATCTATACCTGTGCTTTATATCCTAATGTTTTGCCAGATGTCTAACCAGCACATTGCCATGAATGCTGTTCACTACCTTTAAGGAAATCCTAAGTGTGTTCCTTCCACTAATTCGTGGGGGTGGGAGGGGCGGGGGAGATAACATGGTAAGAGGATCAACTCTCCTTTCCAGTCTACCTGTGCCTAGAATTAGCAGGGAAAATCTTGTCAAACCAGGTAACTTCGACAGCTGTCTCCTCCAAGGACTTTCCCCCCTTTGAAATGAGACATTAGAGACGGTTAAGAAATGTTGGAAGGTTGAAGGAGGATCAAACGAAGAAATTACACTTTTCCCTCCAGTTGGCCAAAATTAGATGTGCTTTCCCTATCTAGACATTCCTGTGTCTATTGGAAGATTGATCCGAGTCCTTGAGACAGTTCTGTGGCCTGGGTTTAAAAATCTTCAGTTCTAATCTTCATCGTTTTGCTGAAAAGGCTGCCCGGAAAGACAAGGCAAGAAAGTCTCAGGGCATTCCTGACGGCTGCGTGAACACGACCAAATAGTGGTTACTCTGGAGGGGAAGCCAGGGAGAAAGGAGGACCCCAAAGTCACTCAGAAACTTTGTGTACTAACTAGAGAAACGATTTTCTATCTTAACATTATCTTAACATAAAAAGGCCAGAACCTCACAGGAGAGCGGCTATATTTAAAAAAACAAAAACAAAAACCAGGAATTGGAGACTACAAACTGCTTTTTAAAACTGTTCACAACAGTATTATTTCACACGTGAGGATTTAGACAAAACAAAAAACACCCTCCGTGACTTGGTCTACTCTAGGCATCCTCATTCGGGACAGGTGCTTCAAGGGCACAACTCGTCTACGATACGCGGCCAACACACAGACCGTATCCGTCACATGAAGATGTGATGGGGACCACTGAGAGGCGGGCAATGCCTCCAAAGGCTTCTTGGGGGCACTGCACACGCCAGGGGCAGCAGGCAGAAACCTCGGAGGACCCTGCGTGCCGCCGCTCGCTGCGCACCGTGTGAAAACGCACCCAGGGAGGTGCGGTGGGACCGCAGGCGCCCACCGTCGGCCGCACCCGCCCACCCCGCCTCGGGTCTCCCTGACGACCCGGTCACCCGCTCCACGACGCCCGCGCGCCCTTCGGCGAGGGTGACAGCCCACACGCGGCCCCTGTGGGTCGCCGTTTCCTAGACAGCCGCACGGCCCCTCCGCAGCCTCCGGAGCGCGCGCGGGCGCGGGCACGGGCGCGGACACGGGTTCGGGTGCGGGCAGCGAGAGCGCAGGCGCGGGCCCGGGAGAGCCGCCGGCGCGAAGGCGCGCGCGCGCGCCCGAGCGGGGTGGGCGGAGGGGCGGAGGGAGCGGCGGGGCCGCGAGGGGGCGGGGGGGGGCGCGGAGAGGGGAGCCCCGGGAGCGGGAGCGCGGGCCCAGCGCCGCAGAGCAGAGCGAATCCTGAGCCCCGGCAGCAGGTACGTGTTCTTGCAGCCGGCGGGCGCCGGGGCTTCCCCTGCCGTGGCCCGGGCGGGAGGGTGAGGGAGGCAAGGATAGGGGCGGGTCACGATTTGCAGGGTGAGTGCCCAGGAGGACTGGGATCCTGCAGCTGACCTTCATGCCCCGGGCTGGGGAGCCTGGCGACCATCTGCGGGACAGCCCCGGGTCTTCAGCTCAAGCCTGGATCTGCTTGTCACATGCTTCTCATTTATATTTGCAAACTGCCCTGGTTCGGGTCCAGCTGCAGATGCCTTACCTCCCGTTCTTTGCCTCCGTGTGCCATCTTGCATTTATTAATAAAACATGAAAACTGGGGTGCGGGAGGTTAGCTCCTGAGGGGAATCCCATTGCAGTATAGCAAGCGGACGCCTATTTTTGGTTTTCAGACGTGGTGTAGAGCTGGAAATCCCACACCCTGGGGATTTGTGGCTTGGTTGGTCGTGACCACTTCCTAGTGGGCTTCCCCAGTTTGTCGCTAGGCGCCCCAGCGGCAGGATAGGCGGTCTGGAAAGGATAGAGGGTTTTTCTGTCAGCCTGGCATACTGTTCAGAGGACAGGTGCAAGCTACGGCAGTTCCCTGTTTGCTAACTTGCTAGGGAGGCTTAAACCCAGAAGAAAATCTTTCTCAGAATTGTTAAGAGGAGGCCTTCAGTTGAATCTCTGAGACTTTCCTATTCAAACTCATCGCGGTTTTGCATTCGAAGATGATTAAAACTAGCCACCTGTTGGAAGTCAGACCCCATACTCCATTCTGTTCCATAGTCACCAACACTGAGACAACACTGAGACAAATATCCTCTTTGAATGTGTTGCCTGTCATTTGTTTCTTTTGAAATAAAATCCACCTCTGATTTGTTGGCGTATATGTTACAGACTGAAATCCTGTGATTTATTTATATCCCTAAGCACTGAGTTTCTCTTTGGCGTATGTTACCTATCTCCCTGGCTTTTTACTTAGCTTTGAAGAAGAGTGGGGAAAGTGAGATGTTTGTAACTGCTTACTCCCCCCCCCCCGAATAACATAGTGAAGGGAACAAAAAGAGCTGGAAGCCCAAAATGAGATTGACTACGGCTAGACTGTGGTGCCACGCTAAATATTGAGATATAGTCATATGGACTGAGCTAAAAGTTATTTGTGACTAATTTCCTTGGGTCCTCTCTGCAAGGCTCCCATTTCTGTGTTGGAGATGAAGAAGCCCGGACTTTAAAGGTTAACTGACTTGCCCAAGGTCACACAGTTAGGAGCAGGGTAAAGATGCAATTAATCTGCGGCACATCTTATTACAGGGTGCTGCTGGGGGGGGGGTTGCTGCTACCTTTTCACGAAGATCAGGTTAATGTGTGAGCATATAGGCTCTGATGCAATTTTCCAGTTTACACAGTCCATACCAATTTTGTGGCTCTCCAAAAAGGAGAAAGTGGTGTTCCAGAGTGTGGCTGTGTGGAATTTCTTTTGTGGTGACACTGAGCCTATTTTTTTAAAACAGGGTCCAAGGCATCCTGCTATAAAACTACCCCACATAATCAATTACAATAAAAAATTTGTTGCACTACCAGCTTAAACTGGTACCTACAAATGAAGCACCTGTAAATGGTGTAGCATGTTTGAATATTTTTCACACTCCCACCCCACCCTGTCTTGAATACCTTTTTTTTTTTTTTTTTTTTTTTTTTGCTGTCACCGCCAGAAGTCACAGTGACTTTATCACACTTACTTGCGGGTGTTGTAACGGGGTGGGGAATTCGTGCCAGCCATGTGCCATAATCTAATTTCTACAAACGTGGCAGTTACTCACTCAAATTTGTATGTTTGGTTATGAATATATATTTAATCTCCTTTTTCACAAGTGTGTTCTTACAGCTCGGGTGTTGAATTTTGTTGCACATACAGTTTTCATGGACTTATAAACTGCTGTAGTTTCGTGAATGGAAAATTCACCTAATGGAGCTGCTAGATTTTATATTCAGGTCGTTTAATTGAGCTAGTGGTCAGAAAGCTATAGCTGAATGTAAAGAAAAGTCTATCCTATGGAAAAAATAGCCCTTTATGATGCAGCAGTATAATAGATGAGCAAGGTAACTATATGAAATTGTGTGTTATAAGTTCTGTGGGCTCCGTTTTCTTCCTTGGACAATGAGTGTGGTCTGAGCAGAATGTTACCTCCTTCATCATACTGACTCCTACTGATAGTAGACAGCTTGTATAGAAGACTGGCCTCTCAGAAAAGACTCAGTTTTGGAACAGTTCAATTTCCAGAGCTTATGGAAATGCTGAGGTGGAATTTTTCTGCCCTGCAGATTGCCAGCCAATGGTCAGATAAACCCAAGATGAATCCTGACAGCACCCGGAAGAAACAGACAGTAAGGAGAGGCCTTGCTTAGTTTCTGGGGAAGAGATGGGTTTTCCCTTGAAAAGTATCAAGGATCCCTTCCAGATAGGAATCTCACAATTGCCTACTGCCTTCATGAGAGCAGAATTTTATATAATGTGAAGATAAGCACCCTTCTTGGTGCAAAGGTCAACTCAGGAAATGTAAAAAAATATTTATGGAATTTTTCCTTGAAACACTTTTAAACTGGGAAAAGTCATACCAGCAATTATGGAGGCTTCAGCATTACTTTTTAATTCATCTCACCAAAAGTATACATTTCGGAGGGGAGAGGAAAGGACTAACATTCAAGCTATGTGTTTTGTGTAACTGGTTATAATACATGTTTCAATGAATTGTCAGTATGACATTGGGAGCTGTCTTGTGTTAGCTGACCTTCCAAGTTGTTTAGTTATGGGATGGGGTTTTACACATAATATCCCTTAATTTAGTGGGGGGATTTGTTTGTTTGTTTACTTTTGTGTTTTTCAAAACAGCGTTTCTCTGTGTAGCCTTGGCTGCCCTAGAACTCTCTCTATAGATCAGGTTGACCTCAAACTCACAGAGATCACCCTGCCTCTGCTTTCTTAAATGATTGAGTCACTGCCCCCAGCTTTAATTTAGTATTTTTAAATGAAAAAATGTAACGCCAACACCCATGAATTAGAAGTTCACAGATAGTTTACTTGGAATTAATTAAATTTCACTGACTTCTGTTTCTCCCCTCAATGGGAACTGTAGCAGGAGGTGCCCGCCTTCTCTTTTCCAATGAAACCAGCCAAGGGTCATAGATGCTGGCCGAGGACCATCTCAGAACTCATTTGGGACCTTCTGTGTTCCAAATTTTGTCTGAAGACCCCAGAACTCTCTAGGAGTATAAAGTGGGTCATAGTGGCCTTTGGTGAAGTAGGACGGAGTCTATACAGATCAAATCCAGGAAGTGAATTCCCTGCAGCAGTCAACATTGGCCTGTGCTGTGATTTTTTTCAAATGTAATAAATGTTCACTGTAGAACATTCAGTAGTTGAAATAATAATAATAATGATAATAATAGAGTCAGACAGTGGTGGTGCATACCTTTAATCCCAGCAATCTGGAGACAGGGGCAGAGGCAAGTGGATCTCTGTGAGTTTAAACCAGCCTGGTCTACAAAGCACATCCAGGACAGGCTACAAAGCTACACAGAGGAACCCTGACTAGGAAACAAAATAGAAGGTTGAAAGTAGGAGTCAAAATTTTTGGTAGTCTTAACTCTTCCCAGCGTTCACCGTTAGCAGTTTGGTGTGGATTGCTCGAGATTTTTCAGAAACTAAAATGTAATTCTCTTACTACTGTTCATAGACAAGTAGTGTTATCCCTGTTTGCTTTCTTGCACCTGTTAATACATCTTGGACGTCTGAGAGGCCCCTAAATGATCTTCTTCTGAACACTTATACTCAGCCACAGTGGGAGCTGGGTGAGCAGAGCCGTACAACTAGGGAAGCGTTGAGGGAACTGATGGGTGGTGGGTAGGAACTCGGCGTGTTCTGTGTCCTGACAGGGAGTTTCATATTCCATGTCTCTTTGCAGTTACACTTTGTGGTCAGGTGTACAGATGTAGAGCTGGGAGCCCCCAATAAGTGACAGAGGAACAGACCTGAATTGGAGGCTAAGCCAGTGTGACTCAAACTCTGGCCTCTCTGCTTTCCTCTCTGCTTTCCTCTGCCCTGATTGCAGGGCGAAGTGGCCTCTGCCCCATTTGCTCCACCTGTACTGGCCTCTCTGTTGTTTCTCTACCTCGGGGCCTTGGCTAGTGCAGGGTTTTTCCTGGGATGCTCTTCCTACAGGTACTGGCAGGACTCACTCCTTTACTTACTTGAGGCTTTGCTTGAAATCTACCTGTGCCTTCAAAACAAGTCCACCCACCCCAGTGATGCATTCCTAGCCTGCCTTCCTGACTTGTTTGCATTCGTAACACCTCCTAGCACACAGCATTAAGTCTTTTTGGGTTTATTGTCTATCTCCTCCATGAGCAAATGCCCTGGAAGTAAAAACTGTGTTTTTATTATCTTTCCTCTGGTGCTATGGAGTGTGTGTGCGTGTGCGTGTGTGTGTGTGTGTGTGTGTGTGTGTGTGTGTGTGTGTGTGAGAGAGAGAGAGAGAGAGAGAGAGAGAGAGACAGAGACAGAGAGACAGAGATAGACAGAGAGACAGAGAGAGAAGTCACTGTGGCATCTTTGAATCCTTCCAGCTTCCCACATTTCTTGTTTTTGTTAGTGGTGGCTCTCACTGTTCCCTGCAGTGGCTTTCTATGTTCATTAGAGGACCAGCAAGGAAAGTGCAAAAGAATTAGGAAAAACCTGTCTTACATTTGCTCCAGTGTTGTGAAAGAGGAAACTTCTGGAGAATCAGGCGCTACAGAGATGGAGAGAAAGTCCGTGAGTGTCATTCTGAGAGTAGGACAGGGTAACAAGGCATATGGAGAGGCCCATGGCCATGGAGTCCGGCGAGTCTTCCTCTTGGGCTGCATAATACATTTGGTGGCTTCCAAAGGAGACTCCAGAATGCATCGCCAACCACCAAGTTTTTAGCCTGTGTCACTAAAAGGAAAATAATCTGTGCTCACTCAT